TATATATATATATGCAAAGGGAATACACTGTAAGGAAAAGATGTTTCAATCCTTATAACTAACCTATAACAAGTTAGTCTGTTTTTGAATCTAGGAAGACTAGCATTATGACTGAGCAATGAAATATAGAAAAGGGTCAAGGAGTGGAATATTTTGCACATGATAACGATCTTTTCATCTATGCAATACTAAGGAGAACAAGTGGTCACACATAACACCTCTTTTCTACCCCACATATGTCTTTTAAAGCTTTAGGCATCTTTAAAACCTTTAGTGTTTATAACAGAAAGGCTGGGCTTTCCTATACTTGAGCCCTTCCAAGAAGGCTCCTAGTACCTTCATGACACCCCAAGAAAAATAAATGGTGGCATTAGCACAGGGGGGTGGCTCGGCATGGGAGAGCTTTAAGGCTGTAACTGTAGTCAGCCCAGGGCTGGGAATCAAAGCATTGGACATAACTAGCCATAAGGGACCCACTTCAAGAGCTAGGTCTTGTAACTTTAGGGGGGATCAGAGGTAGCACAAAAGTGCATCTGAGAACCTCTGTCAGAATCTTATTGCTAGTTGTGTCTCTGTATGAGAGCCTTCTCCTGACTTGATGTCTATTTGGTGGATGTCAGACAAATTTGGAAGAGGTAGCATTACAAGGCAGGTATGCTCTTCTGCATTGGACATTGCTTTCAATCTATTATAGAGCTTATTGACTGTAGGCAAACACAGAGATTGGAGTGCTGCTACTCCTTCTATACCCAATCAGAGGCTGGGGTAGTCCTTGACCAAGCTGATATGCTTTAAATACAGTGTAGAAAAGTAAGGGCAGAGTGCTTGTTATACCATCTTACACCTAAAGTCTGTGTGTTTCACATTCTTGACCAATTGTAGAGTAGTCTCAGGGTTTTTTTAACCATGCATCTTCAGCCACTCCCATTGCTATCACAATTTGACTGCACATATGACTTGCCGCAGTATTCCACTCCTTATAGTTCCCAGGGGATTTTGTCTTTACACTTTCAATGTCTGCTTCTTCTTCCAGAAGTATGTGACCAATTGTTTCTGGGCATGCTAAAACTGGGGGTGTGACTTTGTGGATTTGGCTATAAATGGGGGTGTGGACCATGGGTGTGGTTATAAGTGGGCATGGTTAGTAGGGTGTCCCCGGATTTCATTTTGAAAATTGAGTAACCATATCTCAAGAAAGACAGCAATACAAATTCTTTAACAAGATAAATGGTTCCCACGTATTTATTTTGCTGCTTGCATGCTAGTTCTGCAAGCAACCAGAAATGGTTGTTTTTAAATGATACTAAAATTATATTATTATTTTTTCCGCATACAGTGCTCACCAGATGTTTTCTTTAAATTGTTCTTTAGGTTTAAAAGTCCTCTAATTGGTTATTAGACCTGATATATATGGCTGAGGCTGTACAGCAGACATCAAACTTTCTGCTAAAAAATTTTTTATTACATACATAAAGATACCATATGCCTTGCCCTTCCTGATACCTTAACACTGAAGTGACTGTAACTTATCCCTCCCTGTTGAGACTTTCATAAGGTATTTCTTATACCGGTATTTCAAAAGGTATTTCTTAACAGTGAACTCAAAATCAGCATCCCAATCAGCAGCACTGCAACACTTCCAGAAATCTCGTTTAGCAATCAATATCAAGACAAATATCAAACACATCATTTTATTTCAAGAGCAAATCTGGTCAGGATATTGTTTTCAGTGAAAGGACTGCTGATATCACAAATGCCATCAATTTCCTCTTGCATCAATTTCCCATTGGGAGAGGAGGTAATATGCAAACCCAATAATAAGGCACATGTATAAAAAGTAGACCAAATGAAATGCAGAGAACCTGGAGCTGTCAATCTGTGAGATGAATGCAAAATGAGTAGTGAGTTGAAATCTTCCCAGCGGGGAAGGAAAGCAATGCAAACATTTTGTGAAAAAGTGAATGTAATTCTCCGTAAAGAATATCTAAAGCCAAAAGACTTTTGCCACGAGAACAAGTGTCCCTATTGGAAGATTTCCCTCACTGCCTGTTCTGCTGACAACTCAGAATTTTCCCTCATTTTCTCAGTGACAAACAGTGTAGATACAGTAAATGTTCCTAGAGGAGACATAGACAATAATTATAACCTTGCAGAGATTCTAAGTCATCTTCAATCTATATGTATAAGCTTCAAAGGGGAACTTCATTAAAAAACAATAATTCTGCTCTGTATAAAAGGAGTTTCCTCTAATGATGGAAATCCTAGATCCTGCTTTCTAATGTGTAGTGGAAAAATTATAGCTTCATTGATGCCGGATAATACTGTCAGGGCTCAGAGTTCTACATTTCATACAGTGTGGGGATCGTGTTGTGTAGCTGCCCCCTTCTCTCCCCTCATCCATTCACATAAAGCCTTGAATACTTTTTACAGCATACAAGGCATTCTATATTTACACATTTCCCGGAGGCTGTTTAGGATCATAATGCTGACAATGGTAACCAGTCATTGGTCAGCATGGCCACATGACCAAGGAGAATCTTTTCATTCCTTCTGGGATGCCATCATGGAAAAAAGGAAGGCTCAGAAGCGATTCTCATAGATTAGCAAGGTCGCATTGCCATGCTTACCAATCTGCTCACTGCTGCCAGCATTATGATGCTACACAGTCTTTGGGGGGGAAAAAAATAGAAAAAAGTCCTCCCTGTTAAGAAAACAGTATATACTAACTTGTCCCTCCGGCCATGTTGGCCCTACAGGACTAGTGACTTAGGGGTTTGTGGATAAAACTACTATAGGTGCAGCAGCAGACCAAGCATCTGAGTTACACAAAAGTACGTCAGATGAGGAAGATTTTCAGTTCTTCAAAAGAGCTGAAAATATATAAAGAGCTGAAAATACATAAATTACTGACAGAATTTTTTTAAATAAACAGGTCTAATAAATAAAAAGGTCTCTTTAACCTAAATATGAGTAAAATATTATCCAACAATGACTTACCCTTTGCTTCTTAATAGAGTATGCGAAGGAAAACTGCTAGCAGCGAACCCAACATTGCTTATTGGATGTAGATTTATGTAAACATTGTCTTTGTGGAAGTCAGCTTCAGATCAGAATATATATAGTACTAAAAAAGGCATCTTTGTGGGTCTCAGACAGTTAAATACTCCAGGTGAAGAGCAGAGTCAAGGAAAATCCTTACTAATGATGCCAGCTGCAAAGAATCCTACACTAATGTGTCCATAGCAATCAACACAGCTTAGATTTGTGTCATAGCTCTTCTGAGAGATCTCAGCATTATGCTGATTTTCCAAAGGTGCCATTCCAACAAAGCACACAAGGTGTTGTTACACATTAAAGTGAACTATACTGAACTATACTGAAATGCTAATGCTAGTGTAACTAAACAAATGTAGCCTCGCCTTACCCTTATCACACTATTTTTCTTAAATGCAGAACCAGAAAAGAGCGAACTTCTAAAATAACATTTTAGCAGTTTTGGCTCAGCCAAACTTTTATAAAACATCCAAACCAACCTAAAAAAAAGTGTGTATTACAGAACAGCAATTGATGTAACATTTTGGCTGCTGGCAGCCCCGTTTAATGAATGATGCTGCCCATGTGAACCTATCCTACCTATCAGAAAGGTAAGCATAAGGCTTCTTCTTTTACAGGGTACTTCTTTTTTCTCACTTGCAGTGAGACTTGCAGGAGTCACTTTAACATCTAATAAAAACTGAAATATCAGTTTTGGGTAGGCCAAGCCTTCAACTATATCAAGATAGATAAACAGGTGATGCAAATACACACACAAATTGCTGCAATAACTTTTACAAATGTAATAATATTGGATTGAATGGAAGTGTGCTGTTTAGTTAAATGTAATTTTCCAAGTGAATTATCTATGTATATGACTGGGGCTCTGTGCAGATATTCTAGAATAAACATACACATCACTGTAGTATTTCACTGCACCAGCCACAGACTGCAAGCATGGTTGACCTTGAATCATAGCAGGGAAATCAATAGGACTCTCTCACCTCTCTGCTGCTCCACATCAATTGCTGATGATCCCTCACTGACTGGCTGAGGCTGGACCCGGTTCTGCACTGATGACTGATTGTTCAAATGCTGAGGATGGGTTTGACTTTGGGCTAAGCATGGCATGCTTCTTCTTGATGGCTTCAACTGGTGCTCTTTATCTGTTCCACTCTTACTTTTAAACATTCCTGATAGAACAAAAGCATTTGTTATTCTAAGTATCAAAGCATTTTCCCTATAAAGGTTTATTGGCTTAAAATATCATACATCAAAATATAGCAAACAGCTATCCAGCAGGCAGGAGAGAATAGCATATCTTCTGCTGTAAATGACAATGCAGTTGAGCGGCATTCGACTTGGCTATTCTGCTCGTTACCTCCGTGGTAGAAATAGGAATAGGAAATCAATGAAAATATTTGGAAAACAAAAAAAAAGTTGAAAAAAAAGATTTCAAAAATTTTAATAAATATTAGATTTAAAAAAAGAAAGATTAAAAAAAAGAAAAATAAAGTTGATTGAAAAAAAATAATAATAAAGATTATTGATACTTTGGCTCAGTCGAGCCGAAGCATATGCCTTCGGCTCGGCTGAGCCGCTCGGCCAGCTTCGGGAGCTGTAAAGGCTATATTGAATATCCCATACAGCAGCTACGGCTGATCCTTCGGCTAGCTTTGTGAATAACCCTCTAAATATTGCAAAAATTTTAAGAAAATTGTGCAAAAATTTAAAGAAATACTTTGCTGGGTAATGTATATTTGCTTGGTCTGGACTCATTATTGAAAAAAAGTGTTTAATACATGTGACGGTTTACATTAGAATACCCCCGATCCAGCATGGTCAAATGCACTTTAGATCTGCATGTGCATAGAGTAAAATTGGGCTTCCAATCAGGTCCATCTGAAAAACTAATAGGCGGACCTGACCAAAAGGCTTGTGTGAAAGGGGACGTGTCTTAATTGGCTACTTTATGTCATTGCACTTTGCACATAGTTACATAGTTAGGTTAAAAAAGACAAATCCATCAAGTTAAACCAATAGAGAAAAAAAGAATAAATAGAAAACCTAAAGAACCTACAGAGCCCTGTACTCACAGGTGATCCAGCGTAAGGCAAACAAACCTCTTGGACCAATTTGCTTCAACAGTGGGACAATTTTTTCCTGACACCATAAGGCAATCTAAAATTCTATATTCTTTTGCACCAATTTAGAATATATAATTTTGCACCAAGTTCATGATATCTCAAAACAAACCATACAGTGCTTAATAAAGTGCAAAGAATAATGTTATGAACCAAACATGATAATCAAAAATGATTTAAAATTGTGTCCAAAAGATAACCCTTCTCCTGCATAAAACATCCCTTAAATATTTAAAAAATCCAGGATCTTCCCAAGAATTGTCCCCAAAAACTTGATCCACCTCATGCTCCACCACAGTTATAACAGTGCATCCAAGATATTTATTCAATATGTTTCATCTCCTCCTCTATTCTAGAAATAGAACTTTCAATCAGCCCAAAAAAATCTCCCATGTTCTCATGAAGGAAATAAAATGCTAGAAAGCATACAAACATTATAAAGCTTTAAAAGAGAAGTGTGCTAAGAATTTACATTAAAAGCAATGAACAGTGCTGTGTGACATAAAATCCAACAATCTCCTCTCAATATCCACCCGGTAGTGTTCAGCTCAAATCTACCCGACTGAAGGCATGCAATTCTCTCTCTGCCAGGAAGCTCCCAGAGCCCACCGTGGAGACTTAAACGTATAGGCTCCTCCCGACACGTTTCTTCAATACAGACTTTTTCCAAGAGAAGTATACACAAATACATTATATGGACCATGTATGTATTTAAACATGGTGCTCATATTCCCCCTTTATCGTCTCTTCTCAAGAGAGAACAAATTCAGTTCAGCTGATCTTTCCTCATAGCTGAGGTTCTCCATGCCTCTTATCAGTTTAGTTGCATGAAATCACCATTCCTGAATAACACTAAAGCAGAAGATCTAAACCCTATATTGCACATGAGCTCCTCCTCTTGTTGTTTTCGTAGGCAAATTAAACACTAATACTCCTTAAACACATAAGTAGATCGGGACCATTGACAAGACAGGAATAAGCATGCAGCAAGTAAAGTTAGAACTGTTCAGTGCTGGTCAGTGACTCAGAAAGCAGCAAGGAAACCAGCACTTTAAAAAGAACAGGTCATTAGTGGCAACCTACATATTGTTTTCAGTACAGGATCCTTGCTTTAATGATATGTATTTGTTGTCAGAGTAGATGAACAGCATGAATGAGGGCAGATTATATAGTAGAGTGCACAGTGTACATGACCTTACTGAGAATAATACAGGAGATAGAAGACACAGAACAGACCTGCTGGGAGACAGTAAGGGATCTGTGGCCTCTCAGAGGGCTCTAATACTCAAAACCTGCCACATGGAATATGAAGCAGAGATGTGATTTACAGAACCTGGATACAGTGAATTGTATTTAAACACATTAAGAAGGGTGTCTAAGTATCATCCTAATACAATTCTACCGTGCGTCATTTTTGTTAAGCCTGGGCACATCTGTGTAATGTTCTACATATACGGTTCTGTGATGACATCACAACCTAAAGTGTATGCAAAGCCAAAACTATTCCTGATAGATTATGGAAGGGTTAGAAGCACTGTCATGTTTTTAACGATGCCAGTGCCGCAGCTGGGGAGATTTACAGTAAATATTGCTGCTGGTGATTATTGTCTCTAATACACAAAATGATTTTAAAAAAAACATTTTCGAACTGTCACATGAAAAGAGGGAAAAACCTCCAAAGGGGACATCTGTTCGAGTGACAACTCTCTGAGAGGGGATATCCCCTTGTTTGAAGAGATCTCTCCATTTCTGTTCCAGAAAAAAATTATCTTAAAGTGTCATGAAAGTCACAAATAATTTCCTCTCTCCCCCATGCTGCTTTAGGGCTTGTTCACACCATAAAGAGTGCGCTCCAGAGCGTACAGCCCCTGGAACGCACTGGAACGCAACCCGGCCGACTCCCTGCGTTCAGGCTGTGGTGGCATTTACTTCAATGCACCACCACACCCCCTCCCGTCTCTGAACGCCCGGAGCCGGCCGGGTTGCATTCCAGTGCGTTCCAGAGGACAAACGCTCTGGGAAACACTCTTTATGGTGTGGACCAGCCCTGCAGAACTTACCTAAATTATGTTTCTTAATCTGATCATCTTCTTCCTTCCACTTGTCCCTCCAGCGCTGGCACCAGTCTCTGATCCAGCGCTGACTGGTGTGTCTTCCTGTCCCATGGTGTCTGTCAGCTGCGTGCATTCAGCTCCACTGTGTCTCTCCTCTTCTCCCCGGCAAAGATCTGTACTGCGCATGTGCCCGCCCCATGATCCTGCTCGGCCACTCGAGAATCTTCAGATCTTCGGACGGGAGTGAGCAGCGGAGACAGAGGTAAGTAATAACCTTTTTGGTAACTTTACTTTTTTTATGTTTTTGAAATATATCTACTGCTTGCTAGCAGTTGATATATACACCCCCTCCCCAAAGGTGTAACTGTACTTTAATGTTTAGAAACAAAGGGCAACAAACCGAAAGGAGAAAGAGTCTAAAAAGTATCTATAATTGTCTACTATTTGATCGAACGAACGGACAGCCAAAGCATTTCAGAGGCAACAAGACTTGCCCTTCATCAGGGCGGTATAAGTTTGGAATATCTCCTTAAGGGCTGGAATTGTTATATGAAGCACCCAATTTTGTTCGGAAGAAAAAAGAAATCTGTCAGGGGTCTTAAACATTGCCTACTCTATCAAAAATAAAAAAGATGGCTTTACATATACTTTAATATCATATTATTGTACAAATAAACTATAATTAATCCAGCATAGACACTCGTAGAGTTTGGGTTACACTTATTTAACAAAGCATATATATTGTGCAGTGTCTCTCATGTTTTTAAATAATCTAATTCCTTTCATTTGTATTTATATATGTGCATGGAGGCAGACAATTTTGCCCATTACATAGGCTCATTACTTTCATGTTGGTAAGCCAAGGTAATGTTGCTGTGTAATTAAAGAGACCATGTCACTAGACTGTTGATTCCAACATAAATCTTCCCATAGGATTATATCTGCATATAATGTATTTTATGCAGGTAATTTACCTGTAAAAACCTCCCTTGTGTAGACATCCAAAAGCCCTGAGTGTCTTAGATGTGATGTCAGTAGCCCCAGCAGAATTGGATCTGTCACTTTAAGCTGATCATGTCAGCAAATGACAATAACATGATTGTTCTACACAGACTAGCCCCTGGCCTCACTATTATAGCAGAGCGTCGTATGCTTCCATATTATGTATCATCCATATTATGTTTAATCCATACATTGTAATCTTATAAATGGCTGTGTTGGTAAATCATAAAAGGCTAACAATCACTGAAACAAACAATTTCATGCAAAGCCTTTTATAGCCAAGTAAAACATCTGCTTGCAATATATTTATTTAGTAAAACAATATATTACAGAAATGTTTAGAGATGCAGATGCTAATTGTTTAGCATGGTTGCCTGACAGTGCTAGAGTCCTCCTACCTGAAGTTCTCACTAGTGTGCTACCTGCAGGACCATGCCTCCAGTTCATCGGTTATCATGAGCAATCACGATGTTGGTACCTTTTATGGGTTAAATGCTTCCTCATACATTGCAGCCTATCTAAACTCTGTTATCTGATGGATTGCATACTGATCAAGAAGCCTGGAGCCTGAGTATCCCTAGATACGTCTGGTGCACAACTTGCTTGCAACTATTTTATACTTATGTTCACTGAACTGAAAAGTGTCCACAGGCTACTCAGAAGAGTCACAGGCCTCTGTAGGATATATCATGCATACATGTCCCTCTGTGGGTTTTTGATGGTAAGTTTATAACTAATTTAACAGGCAAATCATTCTTTGTTGAACCTTCACAATATAAACCAAGCCAAATAAGTGGAAAGTCACCCAGTGAAAATTATGTTTCCTGACATTCAGCAACATCTGCTCTTTAAAAGGAAAAGGTATTCACTTTAAAGTAGAACTATGGGGTTAAGGCTTTTCCCCTTTCCACTTGAAGCAGTGAAGATTTTGGACTCTGGTGTAACACTGCTATGACATATGATATATGGTTTACGTTATGTGGATATTTTAAC